TTCTCCATAAGAAATTGGTAATCATAAATAATGATTCCATATAATCATAATATGGACCACAAACTTTAATAATGACGTCATAATAATAAACTTCATATGACTAAGAGTATAATAATATAATATAATTCAAATTCTTTTCATCTGAAATATTTTGACAAAGTGATATGCTTCTCAATATTACAAATTCGATTGATTGGGAAAAGTATTAAGACAAATAACTTTGAAATCATTGCAACAACCAAAATAGTTAATGATTTGCAAGCAATAGGTTATGTAGTTTGTCAATCTTCTAAATAAATAACACTAAAAAGAGAATGTTCGATTCTGATCAAAATGTTTTTGAATGTTTGAGTAAGTTGTCACTTTTTAATAGGAACATTTACAATCTTAATTGTGTATTGTGCTCGAGAATATGCGCAATTACTTTAGAGTATGTACTTCATGTAATATGATGATAATAAAAATAGTTTAGCATCTTTTCGAAGAAGTACATGATTTTGAAAAATCAACTTTTATTTAGAAATAAAATTCGTTCTCACCCTATATGATAGGTACCAATTTGTCTATATGGGGAGAGAGAAAGAGAAAGAGAGAGAGTAATTTAGTAGTTTATACAATGATAAAAAAAAATCACGAATTTCAATGACACGGTTGGTTATTTCACATAGATAATTATGAAATGTTAGTTGAAATACCTTATAATGATCTTTCAATTATGAAGTTTGACTATATGGTTGGCTAAAGTATTTATAAGTGTTGAATAAAGTAGACGTTTTACTAATTAATTAAGAATAATTTTGCAATACTATTAATGTATTGGACTCCAATGAGTATGAATGTTTCTTATGAGAACTCAAAACTAAAATGAAAAAAAAAATGACTCTCGAACATTATAAATAGATAAAATAACTCATGCATCTATAACATACATTAGATCCTTATTTATTTTTTTTATTATTATTATTAGAGACTTATTTTCTTATATATTTTTGTTTGAGTTTGTAACATGTTATTTAAATCCTTTTATGTTACGACATCATTATGTTGTTTTTAACAAAAAATTTATATTAAGAGTTTATTTGTTCTATATTTCAGTTTGTGCTTGCAATCATATATTTAATAAATTAATTAATTTATCTTATCGGCCAAAAATATTTGTCACCACGTGCATTGCACGTGTACTTTACTAGTTTTTTTAAAAAAATTTAAATTGAGCAAAATTACATAAAACATGTTTATTCAAAATTAGTACACACCTTCAAAATAAGTGTCATTTTTATTCATAAATTCGATTTGAGTACAATGTAGTTTCATAAAATAATTCTTTTGGTAAAATTTTATCATATATTTAAAAATCTATGTCAACAATAAGTATAATATTAAAATTTTTAATAATTCTGTGTTTTCTCTTTTATTAGACTTAAGTCAATCCGGCGTCGTTTCATTAAGTGAATACCACGTTGTGTCGTTCTGTTCTTTTCGTGAGTATATGAACTTTATGACGTTGTTTCTTTCTGTTCTTTGCGTGAGTATATGGACTTGTATATATCGTGTATGTACGCTCATCTTTTGAGCTAACTGAAATGAAAATGGAGACTTCTCCCATAATTACTCTTGTGATTCAACAATGCTACTGACGACTACTCGATCTCTCGCTTGAGCGGTGGCGGTGGTGGGTGGTCAGGGTGACCGAGGGGGGGAGATTCGGTGTGGCGAGTGGGAAAGCATCCGAAACATCGCCATGATCAATCGATATATGGGGCAGAGGGGGGATAACCGGTGCTGGGAGTGAGAAAGAAACTGCAGGCAAAAATGTACTCCAAGATCTAATGGGGGAGTTTATTACTAGATACCTTTAACAAGTCATTAATCTACACAACAAAGCAATAAGCAGAATTGGACTTCACATTTCCAATTTTAGATAGTGAAACTCATTCAATCCAATCTCTCTATATTTAACTTTGTTACGAAATAAATTACTTTTATACACAATATCCAGCCTTCCACAACACAAACAATCACAAAAGGAGTAAGATTAAGAAATTTCAATTGACACATCAATTGCCGAAACTTACATTGTACACGAGGAGCCCACCGCGCTAATTAATTATTTTAACCAAATACATGGATAACAGAGAAANNNNAAAAAAAAAAAAAAGAACCGAAAAGAAGAACACCACAATAAAATACAAACCCTAAACTAAAGCTCCTCTCACACAGTGTCCCTAAGATTTCAACATTCATCATGCCTTCAAACTATTCCCCACGTCAATGACAAACCTGTACTTGACATCCCCTCTGGCCAGCCTCTCCATGGCCGTGTTTATATAATCCATGGATATAACCTCCACGTCCGGCACAATATTATGCTTGGCCGCAAAATCGAGCATCTCCTGCGTCTCCTTGGTCCCTCCAATCATGCTCCCGCCAATCATCTTCCTCTGCGTGGCCAGAGCGAACATGGGCAGCTCCAACGGCTTCTCGGGCAGCCCCACCACCACCAGCTTCCCGTGTGGCTTCAGCAGGCTCAATAGCGACTGGATCGAGTGGAAAACCGAGATGGCGTCCAGGATTGCGTCCAGCGTCCCATTGGCCTGCTCCAGCTCGTTGGGCAGCAAGAACTGGTCTGCCCCGAGCGTCTCTAGCGCGTACGACTTCTTCTCGGGCGAGATGTCGATCACCGTCACCTTAGCCCCAAATGCCTTGAGGAACTTCACAGCCAGGTGGCCCAGCCCGCCCAAGCCAGCCACCCCTACATGGAGGCCCGGCTTGTCGAGCCCGTAGTACCTGATTGGGCTGTATGTGGTGATCCCAGCGCAAACGAGGGGTGCCCCTCGGTCCATCGGGAGATTGTCGGGCCAGCGGAAGACGAAGTCCTGATCGGCGACCATGAGGTCGGAGTAGCCGCCGTAGGTGAGGGATCCGTCGGGCTCCAAACCGTTGTAAGTGTCGAGCTTCTCATTGCAGTAGTTCTCGAGGTTGGTGGCACACTGCTCGCACTTCCGGCACGACCCGACCATGACGCCGACGGCAACCTTGTCGCCGACCTTGAACTTGTCGACGTTGGCACCAATCTCGGTGACGACGCCGACAATCTCGTGGCCGGGGATCATGGGGTACTTGGCGAAGCCCCAATCGTTCTTGATGAGGTGGAGGTCCGAGTGGCACACGCCGCAATAGAGCACCTGGAACTGGACGTCGTGGTCGCCTGTGGTCCTACGGGTGAATTCCAGAGGTGAGAGGATGCCCGATGGGTCCTTGGTGCCCCACCCGATGGCCTTCACTGTTTTTGCCATTTATTCTATTTCTTTTTTTTTTTTTTTTTTCTAAGAAGAAAAAAAGGTTACCTTATCACACAACACACGCAAAAATATATATATAAGATTATGGTGTAGTTTATAGATTGCAGTTTACAAATGATGATGAAGAGTGTGGAGATGCATCCATATATATAAGAGTTTGGAGGGCGGTGCTAGAAAAAGTAGACGGAGATTTTGAGGAGGTTGCTGAGTCACATGTGAGTCATCAGACATGATTGTGGCATCAGACTTGACTAGATATTGTCAAACTTCATTAATGATCAGCAATTTTTTTTTTCATCAAAGCGTGTGTTGCGTGTGTTGATGGTTGGATTTTATGTACTTTTACTATTTATTTATTAATTACACTATTTGGATAAGGGTTGGCAAAGAGTTGGTGTAACCAGGGTGTAAGATACGAAGAATTATCAACGGATTCTATTATTAATAGCGAATTGAATTTGGAAAATATTATTTATATATATGTATACACTCTCTAGTTTTATTTAATTTATATTTCATCTGGTCTATATACACTCTAACCTAAAACATAGACTTATAAATTATTTTGATGACTTGTAACTATATTTTGATGAGTACTCCCTCGGTATTTAATTATAATACAAGGAAATAACTACTTTAAATTCTTATCCCGTAACAACACATTGTATCATAACCGTGAAATGTATTTTAGAAATGATTGTAGTAATAATTAGAAAAATAACCAAGGTAATACTAGAATCTACTAGAAGCCCAAATAACGTTTTACAATTTATTTTATATTTTTTAGAACTTGAATAAGATTTTTATAAATCATATTATTCTGGTATAGTCTGGATTAATGGGCGATGACCATTTAATGTGTGGATAATTGGATTACGGAGAAATATGTGTGGACGAATTCTTCTGGTGACGTGTAATGGTAGAGTACCAATTCTGTTTATTTCCATATTATCTGATAAATGTGGTTGTTATCTTATGGGAAATCAAAGTCATAATTTCAATGTCGAATTCACAAGCTTTAACCATAAATAATTTATTGGTCATTATAAATTAAGGATAATGCTCACCTACTACGATGTCACATGTTAATATATCAACCATTTATATGGCATGCACATAGCTTATGTGGCATGCACACATTGATGATGTTAATATGTTAAAAAAAATACATCATATGTGGCATGCATACATTGGTGATGTTAATATGTTAAAAAAAATACATCATCAATATATGTATGCCACATAAACTGTGGACATATTAACATGTGTCCACTGTAGATAGGTGAGCATTACTGTATAAATCAATATAATAAATCAATATAATTAGAACTTTGCCAAGAACAATTGCAAGAACCTAAATACTCTTCCGTATACTCCCACAAGTTTAATGAAAAAAAAAAAATTAAAATGTAAAATATTAAAAAAGTTAAAAATTTAATTTCAATTATGTTGGTCAAACCAAAATTTATTTATTATTGATTGAAAATGACTTATATACATAATTTTAAAGTTATAATGCTGAAGAATATCAATAAATATACCAGTAAATAACAATACTTACTACAAGACATTAATATAAATGAGGGTAATATGTTTAAAATAATCTCCATACGTAGTGGGAAGATTCTGGAGTTAATGTTCAGATTATGACTCAAATTTTGTTCTATAGAAATAGATTGACTATAAAATGGAAATAAATAAACGGATGTGATTACCGAACACTAAAATTAAATATGGTAGTAACCAAATTCACTATGCTTTACTCATATTGCATAAATAATCAATTTCGATCTGATACAATATTTGCAAAATTAGATCATACTTGTTAAAGTTTGGAAATCAAATTATAAAATTAAATCATACTTCCTAAAAGTAAATATGCAAAATTAAATTAGACTTACAAAATAGACTAAACATATAAATCAATTTATGTCAATAGATGAATTTGATAAAATGATATAAAACAAAATACTCTTTAAATCGAATGAAGTTGATTAAGATGATATAAAAGCAAACTAACACGTGATTGCATGTATGACATCTGTAAGCAAAATTGTGTCAAAACTGCTATGGCATGTATGACATCTGTAAGCAAAATTGTGTCAAAACTGCTATGGCATGTATGACATCTGTAAGCAAAATTGTGTGAAACTATTTAGGTCACGGTATACTCGTGACTTCCTGAGTTTTGATAAGACAGTGAGTTTTGATAGAATTTGTTTTATAGATAAGAAAAATAAACTAAATATTTTTTAATAAAAACAAAAATAAAAAAATTGAGACCTAACATAAAAACACATTTTGAATTTTAATTCCTAATCTATTTTTGTTTGTGTTCAGTCATCAATTTTAATAATTTGGATTGCACAAAATCTTTAACTTAATTCCTTAATAATTAAAAAAAAAATGCACAAAAATAAATCTGTAAACATAACATCACCATCACAAGAGCTTAACAATTTTTTTATTATGCTTTTATAATCATTTTTTATACCTTCTCCCTTCCTCCTCCCTTTTCTCAAAAATTTTTTCTCTGTTTTTTCAAGTGTTCACGATGAATTTTGATGAAAGACGACGAACTCCAGTAAAAGATGAATGCGACAACTTCGAAAGCATATGAAAGTGACGAACTTCGGCGAACTCCCTACAGAAAAACTCGCTTGACATCTCCGTTGTACTTCCAACTCGTCTTTTCCCCACGAACGAAGATTGTCCTTCTCTGTGACAATTTCTTTTTCCAAACTCCGATTCTCTACTATAAAATGTAATCTCCCAATGTCTCGGGAAACGAATGTCAATGTTATTATTATTATTATTATTATTATTATTATTATTATTATTATTATTATTATTTTATACATTTGCGAGTTCTTTCATGTCACTTAAAAAAAAGGTGTCAATGATTGTTGATTGTTGTTCATATCTACCCACTATTTATATTAGGTTATATCAACTTTCATAGATGAGCATTGTACCATTAATGCATGCGTATGATACCTGTTTGCTAATAATAATGTAGTACCTATTTTATTTGTATTGGATACTAATTTTTGCTAAATTGCTAATGGATTTGATTTCATTTATCCACCTCGTTTTAAATTTTGAATTATTGTTAGATACACCTACCACTACGGAGATACAAACTGAGTTATTAGAATGTTGTTCCTAAAATAATGAATTGTTTGTCTTCTCTGTATACATTGGATTAAGGTCACAGTTATTCATGTTAATCATGAAAACAAACTAGTGAATTTGGCCAATGATGGTGATATGAAATCGTGTTTCGGTTACACTTTTGTTGGAAATTAGTCATTATTGATGTATATGATTGATCTCATGGTCCAGACTTATTCTTATTTTTTTCACTATCCCTCATTCTTATATGATCACTTCTCTCCAAAAATTGTAACCTTATATCTTTGTTGTAACTATATGTCTCTATCGAAAATTATTTAGTCCCCTCCAATTCATTATTCTGGATCCGCCCCTGGTTAGACTACATTGAGCATTGGAGATAACCTTTTAATTTCATAGTTGTAAACTTAACATTGTTTTCTACATGGTTCACAATTCATTTAATTTATTGACCTTGTCAAAATTTATTCTATAAAAATATTAGAACATTGGAGATGCTCTAATTCCAATGGTTTAATGTAAATTCTTCTCCATTTTGCAAGTACTTTATTTTTGTTCTTTATCTTGCAATCATTTATTAATTTCCGGCTGGGCAATGAAGTTTTCTACTTTAAAAAAAAAATAATAATAATATAAAATCAGGGAAAAGAAGTGCATTTTGGCATAAACAAACTAAATTTAATTGAGGTAATAATTTGGGGTCGAAAAAGAAAAACCCTAGCCGTCGACGGGACAACTTTCGACCCGGGATTACTCCCCCCACCTCCGACACACGATAGTGAGTTTCCGCCACTGGACAAGATCGTCTTGCCGGCAACCAAACGGCCAAAAATTCGCAAGCGATCATGAGATAATCTGGACCTTCAGACCTCACCGAACCAACAGCCTCCACTGGTTCAGGGGCCGCTACCTCAGAAATGGACATTCCGGGACATGGTAAATAAACGCAGACAACATGTGGATATGACCTCGGGAGACGATGGGATGGGCAACGAAGAAGATAAGGATGTCTTTGTGGACTTATCTCCTCTCGTGCCAGAGTTACGAATGACGCAACGGTTTTTTGAACAAATTAATAAAGAATGGATACAAGCGGTAGTTCTAAAACCCTTCGACGAGTCCCACACCATGGCTTCCCTGTACAACCGCCTTACCAAGATGTGGCTTTTCATGGCGGGATGCAACATGATGGATCTCGAGAATGGATTTTTTTCTGACCCACTTTCGAAACCAAGATGACACGATTAGGGTACTTACTGGAGGACCATATGTCGTTGGGAGTAGCTATATGCATGTGCAGCCATGAACCTTAGACTTTGACGCGACGAATGCGGAACTAACATCCACAGTAGCATGGATTTGTCTGCCCGGAATGCCAGCCCACTTGTACCACAAAAGGATCTTTCGTACGATTGGTAGGATAGTGGGTCGACGAACAAACAACATCCTTGACCCGAGGTAAATACGCCAGACTTGCGGTGACAGTTGACTTAACGAAACCGCTCTGTGTCAGTTTCACCATTAATGGAAGAAATCAGAGAGTGGTCTACGAGAATTTACCAGTAATCTGTTTTCACTGCGGAAGGATAGGCCACTCGGGTATTAACTGTCTTCACCAACCGCAATCCCAAGATCAGACAGAAAGTAAGAAACACCGAACCGATGGGAGTTCAAAGAATGTCACAAACGGAGAAGGATGCTTGGTAGATAAGCAGACGACGAAGACAGGCTATGAGAACCATTGTACGGACCATGGATTTAGGTTCCACAACGCGCACATCAACCATACTCGAGGCGCGATAAGGGCCGGATAAGACACCTACAACCAAAAACCCACAGCCGACCATGGGACTAGGGTC